AGTAACTTTTTCTTTTTATTCCATAACCGAACACAATAACTCCTAGTTTATCTACACAACCTAATAAATGACTATTTGACTTTTAAAACTCTTTTATAACGATATTTTTGTCTACAGATTGCCAACAACTTAAAAACATAACAAAAATTATGTATAAAAATATTTTAGGTAGAACCAACCCGAACTGAAATCGACGGCTCGAGTTGGGTTCCAATAATTACAAGAATCCGAATAGTTTCACTTATGAAATACCAGAAATATAATTTGTGATTTTGGGTATTTGACGTAGCGGAAGATTATAGGAAAGATGAAGAATCTCACAAATATGAGATAAACTCACGAAAATTCTTATTCAATTCAACAATGTCTGCCTCAAAGGGCTTACAATGCTTTAAGTAGTAAAACCCTAACAAAATTCGAAAAATAAATAATAAAAAAAATGATATTTTTCCATAAATGGAAAAATTCGTGATTTTAACTTAAAGGGAAACTCCCAATTTTCAGGATCGTCCTCCAATAAACGGAATTAAAATCCGAATTTTATTGAATGAGATGTTATCAAAATAAAAATTACCATAAACGACAAAAACACGTAATCGAGAGCCTAAACGACGGAATCTATCCGAAATCCGACATACGTCATGCCCAAAGGCGATGAGTTGTGATCCTTGGCCCTTTTCCACTCAAATTAGACTATTAATTCGCAAAAAAGGGACAAACCCGAAATTATCATGAAATCATTATTTTGTCTTGCAATCCCACTTCATCATAAATTCTAACTCTTTATGCATTTCATCACTTTGCCTTTTATTTTATTAAAAAAAAAAAAAAACATTATCCTTCCTAGTTTCAAGCCAAACCTCGAGAGAGAGGATTAAGATATCCACATTTTGATTGGACCATACTTGTTATCCTCGATTCTACAATTGACTCGGACAAAGGGATATAATGCAAAGTAATTCCATTTGTACAGAAACATTTCAACAAAAATGCATTGGAATTCTCATAATGGGATGGGCCCATCGTGTATTTAAAAAAAATTCGCAGGCCCCACATGATGTGAGTGTTCTATGGAATTTCTGATGCATTTACTTTTGTCTATGAAGCAGCCTTCAATAATGCAATACACAATTGTGATATTTAAAAAATTGAAATTAATGAGCCCTAAACTTCTAGCAAAAAAAAAAAAAAAAACTGCCTACGGTTCAAGAGCTTCAGAGAATAGCCATCACGTTAGAGCAGTGATTGGAGGTAAAATCATGGCAGATTTCATATTAATCTGGTACATTTTTCTCTTACAATTTAAATTCGGAAAGTCGGTTTAAGTCTCTGTTTGACAAAATTTATATATCATTTTATAAATGATCAAATTACATTTTTAACCACATTACTATTATATGTCAGTTTAAGCCTCCATTTGGTATGTAATTAACTACTAAGCTCATATTTGATACAAATTAAAATTCAGATTTTAATTGAAGTATAATTTTAACCACAAATTTTATGGGATCAACAACTTTTCAACCACATATTTTATCAACTTTTATCAAAATCTACTAAAAATCTAGTGCCTATTTGGAAGGGATTTTCCCAAGAATTGAAGCAATTTTATAACCGTTGGGCAGCTCAGAAGTGGGGCCCATTTGTAACTGTTGGCTTTGTTTGCCCTTCCACTAAATTGCCACAATTTCCAAAGATGCCCTTTAAGAATAGTCAAATTCAAATATGATGATTGGAAGAAATGTGTACAAAGTAATTCAAAGTAATAAAAACTTTAGGTGATAGTTTCTACTGATGACTTAAATGCCTGGTAGCAATGGAAAGATAGACAACGGTCGCTAAAAATCTTGGGTAAATCCCTCCCAGACAAGTTTCCCACCAAATAGGGGCTAAATATAAAATATATCTTGATAATCATAATAACGAGGTTACTAATAATAGTATGCAGTAGTAAATATTTCTATACTGGACAATGAAAAGTTTAACCTTTTTTCCGTCTTTAATTTAGTTAGCTGCTCTAATCTACGTGAAAACTTTTTCGGGAAATGGGAACACTGTGCTTCCATGCAACATAAGGCTAACAGAAGAGAAGATTTGCAACATAGTTTTGATTAAGAAGCAATAAAACCTACCTGAAACTAGATTTAGGCTTTTCTATCAATGTTGGATTCCATCTTTTTTAAATTCAGTTTGTGAAGATAACAAATAGAACGAACTTAAATGGAGCAATAATGGAGTTGGAAAAGTGCCTTTGTCCCCACTACACATTCCCTTTTACTAAAAAAATATAAAGATGCCACCATTTGGTTGAATATGCATGGATCTTCCCCTTCAATTCTTGGATATAAATATATATTTTTATATTTAACTCCACTAAATTCCACAATTTCCTCTCTGCAAAGTTTCCAAATACTAAACTCCTTCCTTTTTCTTTATCACATCTTCTCTCTCAGCATCAAACTCCACTTTATTTTCATTCCTTGGGGAAATCATCAAGTAAATCAGCAAATTAACTCCCCTTCGATAGTCATATCCATCCATTGATTGATGATGGATGGCAGATGGACTGTATGCCCACACCAAGAAAATCCCTAGTTTCTCCCTCTCTGATATTATCTTGATTCTGTATATGGTGGCGCATAGAGGGGTACATTTGAAGCTGATTGAATGCAGAAAAATCACTTCCAAGACCAGTAGTTACTGCATTTTGGACTGGAATTTCAGTGCACTTGAGGCCAAAGTTTCCTACGAGTGATGGGTCAGTTGTGGTGGCTCCTATTTGGGCAGCTTTCTGCAATAAAGCTGTTGCAGACATGTTTGCTGCTGATGATTGATGGTGGGATTGATGTTGAGTGCTAAACAAGGATGGAACACTCCCAGCAAGTTGATGATTTCCCACATCTTTAACATTGATATTATTCAAAGGAAGTGAATTGCAGCTTAACTGATCATCAGCAGCTTTTGAGGAATTAAGACTTTTCGCAAAATCCCAATTCAACTGATAAGTAGTGGTTGGTGCAGGAGGGTTAGATGGGCAGGGATTAAAAAGTGGATCAGTACAACTGTATATTGCGCCTAAGGAACTGACAGAAATTCCCATTTGGTGCATTTCTTGGAGATTTTTGCACAGTGTTTCTTGACTTAGGGGAGTCTGCTTGCTCATATTCCACAGTGAAATGCCTCTTGTCATTGGATCATTAATTTTTTGAGAGTTGCATGAAATTGGCTCGAAGATGGAAGAGAAATGCTGCCCCATATTAGGTCCTAGTGAGAACTGATAATTGACATGGCCTGCATGGTTTTCCACGTGAGATGCTGCCTTTACCCTTGCTGTTTCCTCGGCCAAGGCATCACAATATGCCCTGTGAGTGACGAAGCTATCTCGCCTGTTCACAGAATTAATTCCGAAACAATTACTAGAGACTTTCTTGGTACTTGATTGTACAATATTTGGACAATATTAGGGAAGAAATGAAACTAAAATAATATGTAAATGTACTTTAATAGATCCACCAAGATATGAGATTATCCACTGCCTATTACTGTAGTCTATATATTATCAGGGCATAACAAGAAGTCTAATAATTATTGACACAGAGCAAAATAGGCCCCTCTTTTTTAGACGAAGGTATTGAAATCCAACACATCTTCATTAACGATTTGTCTTCACTAGCGACCCTCTCACTTTTGAAACCCAGCGACTCACACACGCACAGAGATATTGTTCTACTGTAAGTTTCATTGATCTCTTTAGATTTTCTTTTTCTTGGGTGGTCAGAAAATCCTCTTTCTCTATAGTATGCTATTAATTGGGCACACATAAGGTAAGAGAGCGATGAAATACCTTGAAAATATAGTCCCGCATTCACATTTGTATTCCTTAGTACCACAAGTCTTGGAGTGAGCTTTCCAATCTGATTGCACAGCATATCGTTTAGAGCATTTCTCACACTTCCACTTTTTCTCCCCATGCTTTCGACAAAAGTGTTTTTTTATGCCAGTTAGGTCTCCGAGAGCCCTCGATGGATGGTGATGAACGCAGCCCTTTTCAGGGCACACGTAAACGCGTTTTCGCACTTCTTTGCTACTCCTTTGCTTCAGCTTCCATGGAAGGTTGTGCCCTCTTCTGTGCAGTTGCAAGTTTTGATCCCTCTGGAAACCCTTTCCACATATTTCACACAAGAATCTGTTGGTGGCCATTAGAGTCTTCGGGGACAAGGCTATCACGTCAGCTTCAGGATCTAATTTACAAGAACAGATTAATTATCTCATCTTCAATGGAACAACGCAAATTACTTATGAAAATTGAATATATTCATGCTAGAAAATCAATGAATATATATAAAATTGTAAGCTTGATTACCTGGGTTTCCAGGAAGGCTTCTCTTTTTCTTTACAGCAGGTTGAGGATAGGATCCACTAACTTGATTTTTAGTGGAACCAGTTGAAATTACTTCTTCTGTCATCTTCTCTACAATTTCTGTATGTCTTCTCTTTTGGATTCAAATTCAATCTGCAAGAGAAATTCAATAAATTTTTTCTCAAGCAAAAACGTAGAAATTTGCAAGAAACAAGCTAAAGGTACTTTTAGCTCTGATACCACCCTTAACAACACTAGCTTATAGATGCAGGATTAGATCTCTTCTCTCTCTTTCTCCTACAAGGACTATTAGTGATGGAAGTAAGACAAACCCAACAGAGAATAAATGGCTAATCAAAGTTTCCGATCTTAATAAGTAACACAAAGGAGAAATGCCTTTTTTCTCTTATATTGCAGATATTTTATTGCTTTCTGTGGAAATATACAGAATATAATTTCTCGTCTCAAAAAAGAATATTGGGGTTTTCATGGGAAGGGGTGAAAAGTGAAAGTTGTAGTAAAGAACCAGGGGTGGGGGCGGGGGGTTGGGGCAGAGAGAGAGGGAGTTTGGCAAAGGTGAATGTGAATGTGAGTGATGACCTATGATTGAGGCTGGAGAAAGTTGGACTCAATGCCTTTCTGATTGGAATGATTATCCCATAATTGTTTTGCTTTTTGATATTTATATTACATTTGTATAAAACCTTCGGTTCCAATCACAAAACATAAATACACTAATAGTGCTCCTTGGCCAGGATCAATGATAGGATGTGAGATAACAATGTGTTGTGGTAGGGTGACATTGGGGGACTGTTTTTTTTTCTTCTTCAAACTATCCAATCATGTATTGATATGTGTTCATTTTGTCATCGAATCTGTCACTGTAGCAATGTTGTAAATATATATGGTGAATGTGACTTATTGGTTTAATTAATTTCAAGAAACTCCACATTTCAATTTATTTACGTTAGTTTATCTTAATTGGTTATAGACATGTTAGATAGGATACCTAAAGTATAGGATTTTAACTAAATCATTTAAGAAATCAATTTGATATGATTTTGACCTTCCTAAAAGAAGAAAATGAAGCAATTGAACTAAAAGAAATGTTGGAGGCACAATTCAATAAACACATTTAGCTTATAGGGAGATGATTCAGTATGATATTCCAATATAATTTATATTTAAGTTTAAGCCTCGCTACCTCCCGCTTTATAGATTTGCACATGCTACACTCTGTTGAAGACAATTCAAAAAATAGCTTGTCATTTCTCTAATCATTTAAGTTTTAGATGAGATAGTTCAACAAAAATTCTTTATTTATTAAATTATTTATTACTGTATTATGACAAATAAAATCCATTTAATTAGTTCTATCATCGATAATGACAATTATAGAATATTTGACGTAAGAATTTTTATTTTAATTGAAAACATCAGCATCCCAAAAATTTTAATTATTGAAGTTCCAACAACTTAACTCATCATGAGAAACAAAACAAGTTGAATAGCTTCAATTAATTATTATACTGATAAGGGTAAAATATAATTGAGATTATCAATCCACAAAACTCAACTTATATTAACATTGTGACATTTACTGTACTCAATATGTCCCATGTTGTACCAATTAATCCCCAAAAAAAAAAAAGAAAAAGAAAGAAGAGAGAAGAAAGGTAATCCAGTGTTAAATGTTAAAATATATGTAGACGGAATTGTATTTAAAATCAAACCAAGCCACCATCTAATATGAATAGTTAAGACAAAGAAAAATTTTGCATGTTACTTTTTCTCATTATTTTTCACGAAGAATGCAGAAGCCATGCACGAAGTACAAAATCAAAACGACGAGAAAATGAGAATAAAAAGGGAGTAATTGTCCTTAGGAAAATGCTAAGTGTACATAATAAATGTACACAATGGATGACATAATGTGAAGTGGCAACCATCCCGTCGTTAATGTGAAAGTGTCAGATTTGAATTAAAGGTGTTGATCAATTCCACTTGCAATTATGTAGACCATTATGTACTTATAGCATCACTCTTGTCCTTATGACAGTATGTGGGTCCCATTAACTACTTATCCATTTTTTTCTCCCCCAAAATCCACTATTTGACCTTTTTTTTTTTCAAACATTTATACGATTATGTGTAGTTCACATTCTTTTTCTTTTCGAAAGTTTAAATGTGGGTATATTTTTTTTTATTATAATATTGAGACTTAAAATCAAAAGATCTTTGTTGTGATACCATGATGAAATATAATTTAAATTGGTGCATATATAGCTCGATATATATTTTAATTAGATTTTGGGAGGTTGAAGGAGAATATAATAGAGTTCAAAAATTTTAATTTTGAATTTTTTAATTTCAATTTTCGCTAATTTGATATTGAAAACAATCAAAATATACGTATTCATTAGCACATGTTTGGCTAATATCTATAAACAATCAAATTACTTTTTATCCACATATTTTATAAGATTCACAAGTAGTACTTACTTAAATATTTGCCACTCATTTATATTTATTTATAAATTAAATCATTCATAAACATGTCTCAAACAAGCTTTACTATAAATATGAACAAAATGTAAAATTGTACGAGTAAATTTAATTGAATGTCTTGTCGAGATACTGAAATTACTCATTCGTGTGACTTATATTCAGTATAATTTGTCTTAATTGATCTACTAATATTAAATGATGTAGTGTGAATAGCTGTGTCTAATGTTAATGTCTAATGGTGTTTTTGCTGTGTGTTTTTTTTTAGAATATAACGTTTGGAGTTTAGCTGTTGAACTCTGGTGACCAAAGAATATTCTTCCCCTTCTCCAACACTCTCAAAAAGCTTCAACTTTCGAGCTCCAGCTCTTCTTGCCATTGCTGTAAGATTCTTCTTCAACTCTCTCTCTCTCTCTCCCCCTCCCCCTCCCTCTCTCTCTCTCTTATTTATATATAAATAATAACAAACAAATAGAGCAATTTGTTCTTAACAAATACAATTTACTTCATTACCAGCTAGATAAATCAAAACATGAATTTTTGAGCCTAAGAGCCCTTAAAATCCCCGCACAGAAACCCAGTGTGCAATTTGAATGATAAGATCCCTAAATTATTGCTAAGTAAAAGACACCAAATGTGTTGAACCTTCCATTATTAAGCAATTCCTCCTACCTTTATACTGACTTTAATTACATCTGAAAAACTTAAAACCCAGAAATCCTAATTAGTAAATACAAAAAGCTAAAATTAACTCTCTACCTATATCTATTATTCATCTCTCCACGTGTGTGGATATAGATATATATATGTACATACATAAAATGTGTGTTTCTTGAACAGAGGTGAAATTTTGTTAGAACTTGTCAAAGTTAACATGCATGGATATTTGAAATCTGATGGTTTAGGGAAAAGTAAATTGTTGTCACCAAGGGTATGTGTGTTTCTTTACTTGTCTTTTACCTGAATATGAAAGAGAAAACCTAGTTAATATAATATTGTTGTTACAGGACAAAACCCTAATTTTGAACTGTCTTTCATACTCTTATACTCAAGAACTTGGAATGGAATATATGTCTTGTAGCATAACAATGTAGTAAACTTAGGATGAATAGACTACATATTTCTTTTTAACTGTTTGGAGGTGTAGAGAAGAATTATTGGATTTATACTATTAAAGAAAGAAAATACAAAGAACTTAGGAGGGAGATAATGTATGACATCCAATATACGAAAACATACGATTAAATTAGATTATGTTATGCTTCGGAAATAGTCGAATGCATATAGTCCAAATAAATTAAGAGCGATGGAACATACTCTTGTTGGGCAGTCATTCTTCACCGACACGTCTTTTTACAAATAAGTCTAAATTTAGATGGAACTTCTTTTCAGTTAATTTTTATTTTTGGAAATATGTAAAGATTAGACATAAGTTTAAATTATAGAAACCGAAAGGCACTGATCAAAAGCAGTTAGGTGAGACAGAAATTTCACAAGCTTGGAAAAGGAAGATTGACTTTACTATTTGAGTGTATAGCCCAAAAGAATAATAGATTAGGATCTGGAATCCATTAAAGAAATCCTTATGCTTTTTGCCCTTTAAAAAGAAGGGAATATCTGCCTTTTCAAAAAACCAATTTTATGCAACTTTTCATTTATAAAAAAAAAAAAAAATTAGAACCTCAATGAATCAAATCTAACGATCTTCTCTTCAAAGGAAGAAAGAGATTGAGGAATGAGGACATTATATTGAGCAAACATTTTACGTGTCCCTTTCTTTAATCCCCTTTAGTTGTGTACGGTGTGCATACCATGGCAAGAATGCAATAATTTTCGACTATTCTTGATTTCAATTTTCAAGATAAATGACCAGAGAAATTTACTTAAAGGGCTTATGTTAAAGATCATTATGGAAAGACTTTTTTTTTTTTCAACCAAGATTAATACTCTATTTTCATAATTAGCTTAAAATTCCAATATGAATTCTTTAATTAAGATTCACACGGTCAAATTAAATGGTTATTAAATAAATTTTTGAGACATTCAATTTTTTAATTAATTCTCAGTATTCTTGAAAATAAAGGAGTCTATTTACCTAATTTTGGTATGAATCCATAGAAAATTAAAGGTTGATCTGATTAATCGATCAATTTGGCATCTATTTTAATGGATGCTGAATTTTCATTTTCCCTCTTAGTTTATATATTTTTTTCATACTTTTTTTTTATTTGGATGATAGATATAATAGGAAACTACATATTTTTGAAAATACGATTGACAAATAATTATTAGATCAACATAATTATATGTTTTGTAATAATTTAAGTTTAGAAAAATTCGAGAAGAAATACGAGGATAATGGGCTGTTTTCGTATCAAGTTGCCAATGAGAGGAATTCAATAAATGCACCAGAACATTCCATTTAGATTGGCATTTCCTTAGCATCCTCATCATCTTTCCCCCTTGGCCATGCATTAAAACGTAATTCAAACAAATGTAACAATGTTTACAAGCCATGAGGCTAACCTAAAAAACTAATGAAAGCTAAAATTACATCAACGAGTTTAATCAGTTTAGTTGTCAATCGATCCAATGATTCAG